CGCGTAACGGCAGTAAGTTCATACTGAGAAAGCGCGGCGCTTCTCAGCAGTTGTAGCCCACTACGTGCGTAAACTGCGAGACGGCCTCCACGCAACAAACGCACACACCGCCAGCAGTCACCCACCGTGAACGAGGAAAAGGGACACACCGCCACCGTCTCCAGTTCTGTCCCACGACCAACGGGATACGGCCACAGCCCGCTGCCGGCACACAACGCACACGGAGCGAGCAATCACCCAAAGTGCCACACGCGGAAGCGGGCCCTCATCCATCCATGACGCGGCGCCTCACTCCACGTGGTCACACGGAGTGCACTGTTTCCCCAATAGAACTTATTCGTCGTCCATCCCTTAAAAATGCTTCTGTTGATGATGAGTCTTAGAACACAATAGAAGAAAATGGACAATGCGGTAACGCCGTAACACCGCCAGCCACAACGATTCTCTCATACCGGGGCAATTCTCCAATTATGCCTCGTACGCACACACAATCAACATACCATATAAAGATCACCCAATGTTTTTCACCAGAAGCCAAGCAACCCCTTTCCCTCCCCAATTTCTTCTGTCACTGTTATGTTCGATAGCGTTGGACATTTTGGCATTTGTGTGCGGTGCTGCCGTATGGGGCTGGTGCACCCGCACCGCATGCTCAGACACAAGCATCCAAAAATACATAATTCCCGCAATATTTTTTTACCACAAATCAAACTACCCCTTTCCCTCCCTAATTGTTTTCCTATTATTATTTTTTTGCACATTTCGGAGAGCTTCGTCTCTTCAAAAGTCTCCGGATGATATTGACACTTGGTACTGGCGCACCTTTTCGTTCCAGAACGCCGCAATCTCACGGCCCTCCTCGGTCAAATTATAGGAATTGTCGACATCACATCTCTGCCAGTCGTTCATCGGCGTGCTGTCTGCGTGCTGCAAATAAATAATCTCCCACGATACGTCTCGGAATAATTCCTCCCAATCATTAAAATACGCCGCCAGGCACTCAGTGAACTGCCTCACAGTGCTGGCGGTGGTGTGATGCTCACCCGTCGTAGTCATCCGCAGCCCGACCAGCGTCATTGGATTTGAGTCCATGAAGAAAAAGCCGTCCACCAGCGGAAATTTCTCAACCCCCGGTATGTACAGCAGCCTGTGGTTTATACAAGTCTTCTTGTCAATGTGTTCCACCGACGGCAAAAAATAGTGGCGGGTGGGGCCCTCCTGTGAGTACACTTCCGGCGCACAGCGGTGTGACGGACGTCGTGTTGGGGGCTTCAGCTCCTTCAGTTTACGTCTTATTGCAGCCATGAAGGCCACATTCAAAAATGCAAACATGGCACACTTCCCAAAATTTGCGTGCATGAGATAATTCCTGATCCTCGATACAAATAAGTTAAACTCAGCCTGCGTCATTAACGTTTTCAACTTGCACAATGTTTCACTTGCGAGGTAGTCAGTTATCGGTACATTTGAAAGCGACTCGCCATTGCGCTCTCCTCGTACTCGGACAATCCTCGCAAGATATTCAAGCGCCTTATTTACCTCCCACATTTTGGAAGTTCAAAAGCAAAGTAACGCT